ATTAAATGTTACATCAAAACTCTTCAACGGCTTGTTGGAGAAGTAATAATTTACTCCTGAAGGCCCAGTGATGGGTTTTTATTTGCACCAGTTAAGCTGCAGTGTTGGTTTTAGTGGAAAACTTTTAGTGATATGCAGGGGACAGGAAACAAGTCACTGTGGTTTCTACAAAGCAGCGTTAGATAACAGGGTGTATGAAACACTAATGTTCAATTTCCTCTTAAGCTGCTTCTGTTTATAGTTCAAGGAAAATGCTGAATATGTATTTGTGAATTACAGAAGTCCTGTCACTGCAAACACAAGCAGCAAAGCATATTACAGCATGTACGCTGTTTTGAAGTTGTAGCTACTGTATGTATGGAAAGAGACTTTATGAGAGTTAATAGGTACCAAAAAAGAATTAATAGATGAAGTATTTTGCTAAAATGTTAACACTTAAGCTACATGTTACAGTCACCATGCCATGATCTGTACTTGGTGATTCATGTAAAAAAAAAACTTGGAAATATTGTAATAGAATTGTTCCTGTTTTGCAGCGTACCATAGTAACAGTAGTCTAGTTACTTACCTTACATATTTGGACCAGGAAGACAGGGTAAATTTGTCATTTATCGCTCACATTTTCAAAGTATGTTCCAATTACAATGTAACAAGAGAAAATGCTTTTAGGACTAACCAGTTTGGGGAACACAGCAGCTGAAATAATGAGTTAGGTTGCTGGAATGGACACTTCCCCAAACCTAAAACAGCAGGGCAGAACTGCTGTTAGCTTATATGTGTGAAATAGTAGCATCCAGGACCTGTTTTACACTTTTTACATAAAATATAACACTACAAAATAGTGTGGTATGAAGAGCCCCTGGGCCTGGAAGTACTGCTGGTTTATAACTTTAGGTAGTGAACTACTTACTGCAGCTGGTTATGGAATCTTTTGCAGCTTGAGAGAGAGGAATTGAAATGTATTCCAACAAACTATTTAATCAGCTATGACTGGACAATTGTTGCTTGGGAGAAGGGCTTAACAAATTATCAGTTGTTTACCAACATGTATAAACCAAGAACATCATGGTGACTGTGCATCTATATTGATTAATATAGCTTTAAGTAATGTTTTAGTTGGTATAATACGTTGTACATTACAATAAATACAGACGTGATCACTGGTAATAACAACATATAAAACTCCTTCAAGGAGGTTTTACTCCTTCAAGCAAAAAATGGCAATGTACCTGCAAGAGATGACAGTTGACGTAAGGATAATCACCTTTATTGGCCGAGTATGTTACACAGAAGGAATTTGTTTCTGGTACAGAACCGAGGCAGCCATCTGCAGC